GTGGGACACAGGTGAGATGAGGGTGGGACATGGGTGGGGTGGGCAGGGACACAGGGTGGGGGAGGTGGGGCAGGGCACACAGGTGGGGGTGGGCAGAGACACAGGTGAGGTGGGGTGGGGACACAGGTGGGGTGGGTGGGACACTGGGTGGGGTGGGGTGGGACATGGGTGGGGTAAGGTGGGACATGGGTGGGGGTGAGGTGGGGACATGGGACAGGGGTGGGTGGGACATGGGTGGGAGTGGGTGAGACATGGGTGTGAGTAAAGATTGAGACATAGGTGGGGGTGGGTGAGACATGGGTGGGGTGGGTGGGACATGGGTGGGGTAAGGTGGGACATGGGTGAGGTGGAGTGGGACATGGGTGAGGTAAGGTGAGACATGGGTGGAAGTGGGTGGGACATGGGTGGGGGTAAGGTGGGACATGGGTGGGGTGGGTGGGACATGGGTGGGGTGGGTGGAGACATGGGTGAGGGTGGGTGGGACATGGGTGGGGTGGGTGGGACACGGGTGGGGTGGGTAGGACACAGGTGGGGTAAGGTGGGACATGGGTGGGGTGGGGTGGGACTGCAGGTGGGGTGGGTGGGACATGGGTGGGGTGGGTGGGACATGGGTGGGGTGGGGTGGGACATGGGTGGGGTAGGGTGGGGACATGGGTGGAGTGAGTTGGGACATGGGTGGGGAGTAGGTGGGACATGGGTGAGGGTGGGTGTGAGACACAGGTGAGGTGGGTGAGACATGGGTGGGGTGAAAGGTGGGGACATGGGTGGGGTGGGTGGGACATGGGTGGGGTGGGTGGGGACATGGGTGGGGTGGGTGGGACATGGGTGGGGTGGGTGGGGACATGGGTGGGGTGGAGTGGGACATAGGTGGGGTAAGGGTGAGGGACATGGGTGGGGGTGGGGTGGGGACATGGGTGGAGACACATGTGGGGGTGGGGTGTGGGACATGGGTGGGGATGGGTGGGACATGGGTGGTGGGGTGGGACATGGGTGGGACACATGTGAGGTGGGTGGGACATGGGTGGGGATGGGGTGGGACATGGGTGAGGTGGATGGGACATAGGTGTGGGACACATGTGAGGTAAGATGAGACATAGGTGAGACACATGTGAGGTAAGGTGAGACCACATGACCTGGCACTGACCTGTCCTTGTCCTTGGGTAGTGAGGTTATGCCCAGGGCAGTTAGTTGTGCCTCTACGATGTTGGCCCGACACAACGCTCCCCGTGGGTGGACTGTGTTGGTGAGTGGGCAGTTACCTCTACGCCCACACTACCCACACCTCTGGGGTATATAAACACATATATTACACACACACACACACACACACACACACACACACACACACACACACACACACACACACACACACACACACACACACACACACACACACAGAGGTTGGTAAAATGGAACAACAAAAATATTTAGAAATAAGATAAATAAAGAAAAAATATATATATATAAAAAACAGAAGATTTATTTAGGTAGTTAATACAGGAACGATAAATAACATTAACACACAATATATTATCATCACAAACAAGGTTTTTTACTCAAACACAAAACAGAGACAAACAGACAGACAGATACACATACATAAGACATACAGACAGAAAGACAGACAGACAGACCCACCTGTCTATAAGGCTTCAGCATCTCAAGTATAGCGGTGGTAGCCAGATGTTGCGTTCTGGTGGCGTTATCAGAGGTCTTGGCCAACAGGTCTGGCAGAACCTTGTCCAGTGTCGAGGTTACTTCTTTCGTGACCCTGTGTTGCCAGAGAGGTCAGGTCAGGTCAGGTCAGGTGGGTTATGGTATTAGATACCCACAGTTTATTTTAATTGATGATTAAATACACTTAATGGTATGGAAGGGAGGGGGTAAGGTAGGGTAAGTTAATTATGTTAGATTAGCTTTAAATCGGAAAGAGTTAGGTTAGCAGGTCATGGGTTAATTAGGTTAGGTTGGGTTATGGGTTAATTAGGTTGGGTTATGGGTTAATTAGGTTAGGTGATGGGTTAATTAGGTTAGGTTAGGTTATGGGTTAATTAGGTTAGGTTATGGGTTAATTAGGTTAAGTTAGGTTATGGGTTAATTAGGTTAGGTTATGGGTTAATTAGGTTAGGTTATGGGTTAATTAGGTTAGGTTATGGGTTAATTAGGTTAGGTTATGGGTTAATTTGGTTAGGTTATGGGTTAATTAGGCTAGGTTATGGGTTAATTAGGTTAGGTTATGGGTTAATTAGGTTAGGTTATGGGTTAATTAGGTTATGTTATGGGTTAATTAGGTTAGGTTAATGCTAGGGTGTGTAATCATCAGGTAAAATAAGGTCAGGTGCCAAGTCTTCAGGTGATTTGTTGGATGTTAAAGAAACTAATAAATAAATTGTGTGTAATAATAATAATAATAATATATATCTTCCATTTTTCAACACACACATACACACACACACACAGACACACACACACACACACACACACACACACACACACACACACACACACACACTACATCCTTGATCACCGAAGGGTCAAGATGTACCTGGCGCTCCTCTCGGAGCAGCCAGGTCAACTGTTAAGTTGGCCCATACCAACCCCCTCCCCTGACCCCTCCTCCCCACCGGAATATCAACAAGTTCTCGCCAGAAGTTACTATTTCATTTAGGAAAGGAATGGAACCAGTGTTGAACAGAGGTGAACAGTGCTTAAGTCAGTGAGAACAACTCAACAGTAACAGTAGTACCCAAGTTAACCTTCACACAGTGAGGTCCCAGGTACCCAGTGATAACGGCCCGTGAGACCCAACAACCAGCGATGTGTTAATCGGTCTACGATAGGAAGGCCTGGAACCACACCTCACTCATATAACACCATCTGTGAGGGAATTACTACATCACGTGAGGCCCCTCATAACACCATATGTGAAGGAGTTACTACACCACGTGAGGCCCCTCATAACACCATCTGTGAGGGAATTACTACACCACGTGAGGCCCCTCATAACACCATCTGTGAGGGAATTACTACACCACGTGAGGCTCCTCATAACACCATCTGTGAGGGAATTACTACACCACGTGAGGCCCCTCATAGCACCATCTGTGAGGGAATTACTACACCACGTGAGGTCCCTCCTAACACCATCTTGGAGGGAGTTACTACACTAGGTTTTTGCTGTTCAACACCTACAATAATGTGTATGTTCACTGTATGTTCCTTCACCTTTCTCCAATGTATATTTTCAGCCTTCGGGCTGCAGAACTTTTTCAATAAACCGTCAATTATTATTATTATTATTATTATTACATGAACACACAAGCACACACACACACACATAAACACACACACACACAGTCAAGGCAGCCTCGTACCGTCTCTACATGCTACGACGACTTAGGTCACTTGGGACACCCACGCCAGAGCTGAGGACCATCTACAACGCCTTTATTCTCCCCAAACTAATGTATGCGTCACCAGTCTGGTCGTCTTCTCTCAACTCCACCCAACAACGTCAGCTAGAGAAGGTACAGAAGAGGGCCTGCAGAATCATGCTCGGCGCAGAATACTCCGGCTACACCAACGCTCTCTCCACCCTCGAAATGCCATCCCTCAGTGACCTCCACCACCAAGCACTGGAAAGGTTTGGCAGCCAACTACTGCACCACCCTCGCCACCTCCTGCCACAGGCAGTCCCCCGCCCACCTCGCGCAGTCCGCCACTACAACAAAATTCAGCCCATAAGAGCCCGTGCCGATAGATATAAGAACAGCACCATCCCATCTATTGTTAAAATAATAAACAACTCCTGATTTATGTACTGTACAGCCCTGTAAATGTATTCAATGCATATTATATCATTATGTCTAAATCAAATGTAAGTTCAGACATTTTCAGCCACCATGAACTCTATTAATAAACCGTTTATTATTATTATTATTATCGGCACACACACACACACACACACACACACACACACACACACACACACACACACAACACCTATTCTATTGTGGCACCGTTCTTACACAACCAGGCCTACTGAATGGTGTGGCCCTGTGCTAGAGAGAACATAACCTGTGCTAGAGAGAACATAACCTGTGCTAGAGAGAACATAACCTGTGCTAGAGAGAACATAACCTTTGCTAGAGAGAACATAACCTGTGCTAGAGAGAACATAACCTGTGCTAGAGAGAACATAACCTGTGCTAGAGAGAACATAACCTGTGCTAGAGAGAACATAACCTGTGCTAGACAGAACATAACCTGTGCTAGAGAGAACATATCCTGTGCTAGAGAGAACATAACCTGTGCTAGAGAGAACATAACCTGTGCTAGAGAGAACATAACCTGTGCTAGAGAGAACATAACCTGTGCTAGAGAGAACATAACCTGTGCTAGAGAGAACATAACCTGTGCTAGAGAGAACATAACCTGTGCTAGAGAGAACATAACCTGTGCTAGAGAGAACATAACCTGTGCTAGAGAGAACATAACCTGTGCTAGAGAGAACATAACCTGTGCTAGAGAGAACATAACCTGTGCTAGAGAGAACATAACCTAAAGCTAGAGAGAACATAACTCAAAGCAGAGAGAGAATATAAATCTGTGCTAGAGAGGAATATAACTTGTGCTAGAGAGAACATAACCTGTGCTAGAGAGAACATAACCCAAAGTAGGAGAGAACATAACCTCAAAGTAGAGAATGACAATTTTGCTAGAGAACATAACCTGTACTAGAGAGAACATAACTCAGCTAGAGAGAACATAACCTGTGCTAGAGAGAACATAACCTTTGCTAGAGAGAACATAACCTGTACTAGAGAGAACATAACCTGTACTAGAGAGAACATAACCTGTGCTAGAGAGAACATATCCTGTGCCAGAGAGAACATAACCTGTGCTAGAGAGAAGATATCCTGTGCTAGAGAGAACATAACCTGTGCTAGAGAGAACATAACCTGTACTAGAGAGAACATAACCTGTGCTAGAGAGAACATAACCTTTACTAGAGAGAACTTACTTGTGCTTGGAGATGAAGTTACTGAGAATGTGAGAGAGGGTGTGTGAGGCGAGGAGGCCAACACTGTGCACTTTATCCCTCAGAGCTCGACGCACCAACACCACCGCTCCCCGCACGTACCTACAGAGAGAGAGAGAGAGAGAGAGAGAGAGAGAGAGAGAGAGAGAGGAAGAAGGAATAAAGTAGCAGTAGTAGTAGTAGTAATAATAATAATAATAATAATAATAATAATAAAAATTCCTCGACAGTTAACACATTTCCTCTTAGTTTAATAGCAGTTTGATCAATATATCACAAAATTCTTTATATGAACTACAAAAACTATATAAACATTCTGATAATTTATTGACCACAATTATATACATAAATTTATTCGTCTATATATATTTAGATTTCTATTTGATATGTTAATTATTGCCTGATGACGTCATTGCTTACCGAATTGATGACGTCATAGATCTGTTATACCTAATGGATGACGTCATAACTAATTGATGACGTCATAGATGTTATAGCTAATTGATGACGTCATAGGTTACCTATCGGGTCTGATGCCAGCTGTGTCGGGGGAGTAGGTGGTGAGGTGGTGCTGTAGCTGCTTGAGACCTGCCTCCTTCTCTGCATAGTTCTTACTGTAGATCTTCTCCACCTGTGTGATATGAGTGGGGTGAGTGGGGGGCTGAGTGGGAGTGAGAGAGGGGGCTGAGTGGGGGTGAGAGGGGGGAGAGGGGGAGGGGGAGTGAGGGGTGAGAGGGGCTGAGTGGGGATGAGAGGGGGTGAGAGGGGGCTGAGTGGGGGTGGGAGAGGGGCTGAGTGGGGGGTGGGAGAGGGGCTGAGTGGGGGTGGGAGGGGGGCTGAGTGGGGGTGGGAGAGGGGCTGAGTGGGGTGAGAGGAGGCTGAGTGGGGGTGAGAGGGGCTGAGTGGGGGGGTGGGAGAGGGGGGCTGAGTGGGGGGGGGGAGGGGCTGAGTGGGGGGGAGAGGGGGGCTGGGGGGGTGAGAGAGGGTGAGTGGGGGTGAGAGAGGTGCTGAGTGGGGATGAGAGGGGCTGAGGGGGATGAGAGAGGGCTGAGTGGGGATGAGAGGGGGCTGAGAGAGTGAGAGGGGGCTGAGTGGGGGTGAGAGAGGGGCTGAGTGGGGGTGAGAGAGGGGGCTGAGTGGGGTGAGAGAGGGGGCTGAGTGGGGGTGAGAGGGGGCTGAGAGATGGGGCTGGTGGGGGTGAGATGGGGCTGAGTGGGGGTGAGAGAGGGGGCTGAGTGGGGCTGAGTGGGGATGAGAGGTGACTGAGTGGGGGTGAGAGAGGGGCTGAGTGGGGGTGAGAGGGGGCTGAGTGGGGGTGAGAGAGGGGGCTGAGTGGGGGTGAGAGAGGGGTGGTGGGGCTGAGTGGGGTGAGGGGGGTGAGCTGAGGTGAGAGAGGGGCTGAGTGGGGGTGAGAGAGCAGGGCTGAGTGAGGGGTGAGAGAGGGGCTGAGTGGGGGATGAGGGGGTGAGAGAGATTGGGGCTGATTGGGGGTGAGGGGGGCACAGTGGGGGTGAAAGAGGGGGCTGAGCGGGGTGAGTGGGGGCTGAGTGGGGGGCTGGTGGGGGTGAGTGGGGGGCTGAGTGGGGGTGAGAGGTGGCTGATTGGGGTGAGAGAGGGGCTGAGTGGTGATGGAAGGTGTGAGTGAGTGGGATACTGACAGTACAAGAGTGTATGGTGAGGTGATAATGAAAACAGTGAAGAACGTCATCCGTTTCTGTCTATCAATCTTCCCTCCTTCCTTCTTTCTGTCTATCAATCTTCCGTTCTTCCTTCTTTCTGTCTATCAATCTTCCTTCCTTCCTTCTATCAATCAATCTTCCGTCCTTCCTTCTTTCTGTCTATCAATCTTCCGTCCTTCCTTCCTTCTATCAATCAATCTTCCGTTCTTCCTTCTTTCTGTCGATCAATCTACCGTTCTTCCTTCTTTCTGTCGATCAATCTACCGTTCTTCCTTCTTTCTGTCGATCAATCTACCGTTCTTCCTTCTTTCTGTCTATCACTCTTCCGTCCTTCCTTCCTTCTTTCTGTCTATCAACCTTCCGTCCTTCCTTCTTTCTGTCTATCAATCTTCCGTCCTTCCTTCTTTCTGTCTATCAATCTTCCCTCCTTCCTTCTTTCTGTCTATCAATCTTCCGTTCTTCCTTCTTTCTGTCTATCAATCTTCCTTCCTTCCTTCTATCAATCAATCTTCCGTCCTTCCTTCTTTCTGTCTATCAATCTTCCGTCCTTCCTTCCTTCTATCAATCAATCTTCCGTTCTTCCTTCTTTCTGTCGATCAATCTACCGTTCTTCCTTCTTTCTGTCGATCAATCTACCGTTCTTCCTTCTTTCTGTCTATCAATCTTCCTTCCTTCCTTCTATCGACCAATCTTCCGTTCTTCCTTCTTTCTGTCGATCAATCTACCGTTCTTCCTTCTTTCTGTCTATCACTCTTCCGTCCTTCCTTCCTTCTTTCTGTCTATCAACCTTCCGTCCTTCCTTCTTTCTGTCTATCAATCTTCCGTCCTTCCTTCTTTCTGTCTATCAATCTTCCGTTCTTCCTTCTTTCTGTCTATCAATCTTCCGTCCTTCCTTCTTTCTGTCTATCAATCTTCCGTTCTTCCTTCTTTCTGTCTCTTCCGTCCTTCCTTCTTTCTGCTCATCAATCCTTCCGTAATTCCATCTTTCTGTCTATCAACCTTCCGTTCTTCCTTCTTTCTGTCTATCACTTCTTCCGTCTATCCTTCCTTCTTTCTGTCTATCAATCCTTCTTTCTGTCTATCCTTCCTTCCTTCTTTCTGTCTATCAATCTTCCGTCCTTCCTTCCTTCTTTCTGTATCATCAACTCTTCCGTTCTTCCTTCTTTCTGTCTATCACTCTTCCGTTCTTCCTTCTTTCTGTCTATCACTCTTCCGTTCTTCCTTCTTTCTGTCTATCACTCTCCGTCCTTCCTTCTTTCTGTCTATCACTCTTCCGTTCTTCCTTCTTTCTGTCTATCACTCTTCCGTTCTTCCTTCTTTCTGTCTATCACTCTTCCGTTCCTTCCTTCTTTCTGTCTATCACTCTTCCGTTCTTCCTTCTTTCTGTCTATCACTCTTCCGTTCTTCCTTCTTTCTGTCTATCACTCTTCCGTTCTTCCTTCTTTCTGTCTATCACTCTTCCGTTCTTCCTTCTTTCTGTCTATCACTCTTCCGTTCTTCCTTCTTTCTGTCTATCACTCTTCCGTCCTTCCTTCTTTCTGTCTATCAATCTTCCGTCCTTCCTTCTTTCTGTCTATCAATCTTCCGTAATTCCTTCCTTCTGTCTATCACTCTTCCGTCCTTCCTTCTTTCTGTCTATCAATCTTCCGTCCTTCCTTCTTTCTGTCTATCACTCTTCCGTTCTTCCTTCTTTCTGTCTATCACTCTTCCGTTCTTCCTTCTTTCTGTCTATCAATCTTCCGTTCTTCCTTCTTTCTGTCTATCACTCTTCCGTTCTTCCTTCTTTCTGTCTATCAATCTTCCGTTCTTCCTTCTTTCTGTCTATCAATCTTCCGTAATTCCTTCCTTCTGTCGATCAATCTTCCGTCCTTCCTTCTTTCTGTCTATCAATCTTCCGTCCTTCCTTCTTTCTGTCTATCACACCATCAATCATGTTCTACTGTCTCTCTCTCTCACTACTCACCACCTCTCTCTCTCTCACCACGTCTCTCTCACCACTCACCACCTCTCTCTCTTGTCACCACTCACACCTCTCTCTGTCACCACTCACACCTCTCTCTCTCTCACCACCACCACCTCTCTCTCTCCTCTCTCTCACTCACCACCTCTCCCTCCACCTCACCACCTCTCTCTCTCACCACTCACCACTCTCTCTCTCTCACCCCACCTCCTCACCTCCCTCTCTCAACACTCACCACTCTCTCACCACTCACCACCTCTCTCAACACTCACCACACTCTCTCTCACACACTCACCACCTCTCTCTCCACTCACCACCTCTTCCTCACCACCTCTCTCTCTCACCTCTCTCTCACACCTCTCTCAACACTCACCACCTCTCTCTCTCACCACCACCTCTCTCTCTCTCCTCAACACTCACCACCTCTCTCTCTCTCTCACCACTCACCACCTCTCTCTCACCACTCACCACCCTCTCTCTCTCTCCACACTCACCACCTCTCTCTCTCTCTCCTCTCACCACTCACCACTCTCTCTCACCACTCACCACCTCCCTCTCTCTCTCCTCCCCACTCCCACACCTCTCTCACCCTCCACCACTCACCACCACCACTCTCTCACCACCACCACCACTCTCCACTCACCACTCCACCACTCTCTCTCACCACCTCTCACCACCACCACCTCTCCTCTCCCCCCACCCCACCACACCTCTCTCCCTCCCTCCACTCACTCACTCACCCCCCTCACCACCCTCACCACCTCACCCACCTCCCACCACTCACCACCTCTCTCACTCACCACCACCACCTCTCCCACTCCACCACACCCTCAACACCTCCTCACCACCTCACTCCACCTCCACCTCACCACCACCTCTCTCAACACCTCTCACACCTCACCACCTCACCACCTCACTCACCACCTCCACCACCACCACCCACCTCACCACCTCACCACCTCTCCTCTCTCCACTCACCACCTCACCACCACCTCACCACCACTCACCCCTCTCACCCTCTCTCTTCTCACCACTCACCCCCTCTCTCTCACTCCACCTCACCTCACCTCCTCACCACTCTCACCTCCTCCACCTCCTCACCCTCCACACCTCCCAACACCTCCTCACCCACCACCACTCCTCTCACTCACCCACCACCTCTCTCTCACCACTCAACACCTCACCACCACTCACCTCTCCTCACCACTCCCCCCCTCCCACCTCTCTCACCACCACCACCTCTCACTCACCCTCCACTTCACTCACCACCTCTCTCACCACCCTCCTCTCACCCTCCCACTCACCTCCACCTCTCTCATTTCCACCACCACTCCACCACTCACACCTCACCACCTCCACCACCACCTTCACCACCACCACCCTCACCACCACCACCTTCACCACCACCATCCACCACCACCCACCACCTCACCACCTCACCACCACTCCACCACTCACCACTCCCACCCACCACCACTCACCACCTCTCTCTCTCTCTCTGCACTCAACACCTCTCACCACCTCTCACCACTTCCTGGCCGAACACGTCGAGGGGGAGGGCGGCGTCTTTCTTGTCAACATCACTCAAGCCGTGAACACGTCGGCTGCCTCCCCCCGGCTCCCCCTCGTCCTCCCCTCTCTCTAACACGTCACGGCTGTTGGGGGAGAAGAGGCGTTAGCGGTGTTAGTTAAGCGTTAGGGACTCTTACAAACGTGTTAGGGCAAGTGAGGATGATGGTGGTCGTGTTAGGAAGGTGTTAGATTGATGTTGGTGGTGTTAGAATGATGGTAGTGGTGTTAGGAAGGTGTTAAAATAATATTAGTGGTGTTAGAATGATGGTGGTGGTGTTAGAATGATGGTGGTGGTGTTAGGAAGGTGTTAAAATAATATTAGTGGTGTTAGAATGATGGCAGTGTTGTTAGGAAGGTGTTAAAATAATATTAGTTTTGTTAGAATGATGGTGGTGGTGTTAGGAAGGTGTGGTGGAATGTTAATAAACACAGTCCAATATCTGTAGATGGTGTATGTATGTATGTATGTATGTATGTATGTATGTAAATTTGCACGTATGTATGTATGTATGTATGTATATAAATTTGCACGTATGTATGTATGTAAATTTGCACGTATGTATGTATGTAAATTTGCACGTATGTATGTAAACATGTGGGTACAGTATGTAAGTATATGTGCGCGTGTGTATACTGTATACTTTATCACACACACACACACACACACACACACACGCACATACAGTAAAATACGCACTATAGCGGCACTTCATGACACCCAACTCGGTTTGTTTACAAGTCACTCCGGGCAACCAAACACGGCCGAAACAAGGAGTGACGTCACGCGTTGCTCACCAATCATGGCCGGGCTAGCAAGTGACATCACGCCCAGCCCACCAATAGCAAGCCCTCATAACTGGCACAAAGTACAGGAAGCCTCGTGACTCAGTACAGTGTGTTGTGGGAAGACGGTCGGTGTTAAGGCCAACATTTCTTCGTTATAGTAAGTAATATATTATACGACATTTAATATTGAATAAGAAGTTAATAGTTGTTTTAAGTAATATAAACAAGTATTTAATGTTTTAATCTACGGTTAAAATCATAATAATTTGAATTAATATACGTTAAAGTTCGTTAGAATTCGTTATATTTTGTTTAAAATTTAAATCTAGCTACAATAATGTTTAACTATAAAACTTTACCTATGAACAATACTGTGTGTTGTGGTAGGTAGGTGGTGCTAGTTGTGGTAGTAGTGGGAGGGAGTGGTGGTAGTGGTAGGTGGTGGTAGTGGTAGGTGGTGGTAGTGGTAGGTGGAGGTAGTAGTGGTAGGGGGTGGTGGTGGTGGTAGGAGGTGGTGGTAGTGGTAAGGGGTGTAGTGGTAGGGTGGTATAGGTGGTGGGTAGGGGTGGTAGGGGTAGGTGGTGTGGGTAGTGGGTAGGGGGTGGGTAGTGGGTAGGTGGGTGGGTAGTGGTAGGTGGTGGGTAGTAGTAGGAGGGTGGTGGTGTAGGTAGGGGGTAGTAGTAGGGGGTAGTAGGTGGTGGTAGTGGGTAGGTGGGTATTGGTAGGTGGTGGGTAGGGGTGTGTGGTGGTGGGAGGGTGTGTGGTGGGGTGGTGGGTGGTAGTGGTGGTGGGTAGTGGGTAGGGGTGGTGGTAGTGTCAGGGGTGGGTAGGGGTAGGGGTGTGTGGGTGGGGGTAGTAGGTAGGGGTGGGTAGTGGTAGGTGGGTGGTAGGTGTAGGTGTGGTAGCAGGTGGTAGTGGGAGGGGTGGTAGTGGTAGGTGGTGGTAGGGTAGGTGGTGGGTAGAGGGGTGGGTGGGTAGTGGTTGAGAGTGGTAGGTGGATTGGTTGGTGGGTAGGTGGTGTGAGGGCAGGTGGTGGTGTAGAGAGGGGGTGGTGGTGGTAGTAGAGGCAGGTAGGGGTGGTGGGTAGAGTAGGGGTAGGGTAGTGGCAGGTGGTGGTGGTTGGTAGGGAGGGGAGGCAGGTGAGGGTGGTAGCAGAGGTGGGTAGGGTAGGGTGGTGGTGGTAGGTGGTGGCAGTGGTGGTGGAGGTGGTAGAGTGGTACAGAGTGGTAGTAGGGTAGGCGAGGGTGGGAGTGGTAGGGTCTTAGGAGAAGGCAGGATAATGGTAGGATGGTGGGGGGAGGAGGTAGGTGGTGGGGCTATAGGATGGTAGTGGTAGCAATGGTAGAGGGTAGGTGGTAGGTGGTGGTAGTAGTGGCAGGTGGTGGTAGTAGTGGTAAATAGTGGTAGATGGTGGTAGTAGTCGTAGGTAGTGGAAGTAGTGCTCATTGTGGTAGGTGGTGGAAGTAATGGGTCGGGGTGGTAGTAGTAGTAGTAGGGGATAATAGTAGTAGTAGTGGTAGGTGGTAGTAGTGATGGTGGTATTAGTGGTGGTGGTGGTGGTGATGGTGGTATTAGTGGTGGTGGTGGATTAGTGGTGGTGGTGATGGTGGTATTAGTGGTGGTAGATGGCAGAATAGTAGTAGTGGTGGTGTGATGGTGGTATTAGTGGTGGTGGTGGTATTAGTAGTGGTGGTGGAGATGGTATTAGTGGGTGGTAGATGGCGGAATAGTAGTAGTGGTGGTGGTGGAGGGAAGTGGTTGTAATGGTGGTAGCAGTGGTAGTGGTTGGTAGTAATGATGGTGTAATAGTGGTAGTTGTTGGTAGTAATGGTAGTAGTAGTAGAAAAAGTAGTAGTAGTATTTTTTTACGATTAGCCCACCTGCACAGGTCAAACGGGGTGGGGCAAAAAATAAGAACAAAGAAATTAAAAATAAAGAAAAAGGTTATACTGTATTAATCTACACCACGGAGATGCCGGAAACCAGCTTTAAAGTGAGACAGATTGTATAAGTATGGAAACACAGAAGAAGGCAGAGCATTCCACAGTTTGGCTGTGTGGAGGAAAGGAGGTACTATAACGGGTTATTCTAGTGTGACCGACATCCACAGAGAAACGGTGGGCACTGCGGCAAGACGTGTGTTAGAGCCCACGGCCTTGCCGGCGGTACACAGGATGCCAACCACCGAACATTGCACGTTAAAGTATTCCTGAAAAGAGAGAGAGTGAAGCAAAACATTGTGGCGAAGAGAAAGGAAGAAGATTGTCGACTAAAGGAGGAGAGTTAATAAGACGAAATGCCTTTGATTCCACCCTATCTAACAGTTGGACAGAAGAAGAGCCACCCCAGATATGAGAGGTACTCCAAGTTAGGACGAATGAATCCTTTATACTTGAAGCAACTGCTCGGGAGGCAGCTTTAGCTATGCTAAGGATGTGTGATTTCCATGAAATTGGAGGAAATGGTGAGGCCGAGCACATGTATTTCAGAATTTGGCAGAATGATAGCGTCCTGAAATGTAATTGGAGATCGTCTAATTTACAAAGTGTAATTGATAAATATCGAGAGTTATTACAATTGAATTTAACCAGTTTCTACTCCCCATTCAGAGATGCTGCACAGATCCGCTTGATAGAAATAATGATATCAGCTTCAGAAACAGATCTAGTTTGAGGGTTAGGAGGAAGGGAAAATGTGAAGAGTGAAGAGTAGAATCATTAGCGTAAGAATAGATATAATTAGTTGTAGGTAAGTCATTAATAAAGAAGGAAGAGAGTAGGTGAAAGAACATAACCCTGTGGGACACCACTACTGGTAGAGAAAGAGCGAGATCGATCCTCGACAACAACTGCCATGGATCGGTTCTCAGGAAGCTAGAGATGAGAAAACAAAGTGGGGAGAGAAACCAAAAGAGGGAAGTTTACATAGCAAAGACTTGTGCCATACCCTGTCAAATGTCTTGAGATGTCGAGGGCCACGACGAAAGTTTCTGCCATAATCCTAAGAGAGGATGACCAAAGATGGGTGCAGTAGGAGAGCAGATCACCAGTAGATCTCGCCTGCAAAAGCCATACTGGTGATCCGACAAAGAGAAAGGCGTTCAAGGTGACGGAGAAAATAGGAGTTTAAGATAGTTTCGAAAATCTTAGAGAGGGATGAAGTTTGGGCAATGGGCGATAGTTAAGGATTAGAATGGTCACCCTTCTTCGATGGGCTGACCAAGGCATGCTTCAAGAAGAAGGAAAGTTTGGGTTTTGAGGCAGAGGCGAAAGAGGTGAGCAAGCACAGGGGCCAGGGCTTCCAGCACACCCTCAGAACATGAGGTATTCCGTCAGGTCCATGCGCCTTACTCACATACAACCTGGATAACACACCGGCAACCCTGCGAGTGGAGATTATAGGAAAGTGCAGGTTCAGTAGGGAGGTGCAGGAGGGATAGAGAGGAATCGTCTAAGATGGAATTAGAGGAGAATAAGGTGCCAAAGAGGTTGGTTGTGAGAGTTACAGAGTTATTGGGACGGAAAGAGAGGAGGAAAAGAAGGAGTGGTGGTAGTAGTGGTAGTAGTGGTTGGTGGTAGCGTGTTAGGGTGGAGTATATCATAAGGTTCTTGGTTACAATGTTTATAACACAACAACAACTATCACCACCACCCTGCGTGTGTGTGTGTGTGTGAATTAATTCCTTTACAGCGCCATTATTCACACTCTTACAGGACGCTCATTGGCTGCGACTAGCAACACGGACGTGATTGGACGACAGAGGTTGCTTAGTGATTGGCGGATGAAGATGACGTATGAGCCACGAGGCCCCGGATGAAGGTAATACCTGTTCCTGTACTGAGTTCGTGTTAGAGGGTCATTATGCTTCTGGGTCATGACATTGTATTGTTGTATTTAATTTATGATAGAGTGACATACATTTGTAAGTATGGATAGCTTAAAACACACACACACACACACACACACACACACAGAAATACTTGTGTAGACTCACAAACACAACACAGTACATGACCTGGGGGAGATTTGTCTTATTGTGCACTCTCCCTACAGTACCAGTGAGGTATGACTGGCCTCACAGTACCAGGAGGTATGACTGGCCTCACAGTACCAGTGAGGTAATGACTGGCCCCATAGCACCAGTGAGGTATGACTGGCCTCTACAGTACCAGGAGGTATGACTGGCCTCTACAGTACCAGAGGTATGACTGGCCTCTGCAGTACCAGTGAGGTATGACTGGCCTCTACAGTACCAGTGAGGTATGACTGCCTCTACAGTACCAGTGAGGTATGACTGGCCTCTACAGTACCAGTGAGGTGGACGGCCCCCACAGTACCAGTGAGGCATG